GACAGACAAACAGACAGACAGACAGACAGACAGACAGACAGACAGACAAACAGGCAGGCAGACAGGCAGACAGGCAGACAGGCAGACAGACAGACAAGACAGACAGACAGACAGACAGACAGACAGATAGATAGACTGACCCAGATAGATAAAATAAATAATACAACTTTTTCAAAAAATCAACAAGATAATATAACAACCCTTACAGAAACAAGTGATCTGCGTATTTAAATCTTCCCCGGTTGACAACGTCAGTAGCCTACACGGAGATGGTAAAGTACAATAATAATAACAGAGGAACCTTACCATGACTCAAGTCTGGTCCAAATTTTCCCTCCAGGCTAAACGCAATACAATCCCTTCCCCTTCCGTTCTTCCCTTTTTCGTTCTCATTTCGAACGTGACTATTATCGTAATCGTTCCCTTTCAATTCACCTAATAATTAGGGCCCTGTTGTGATTGCAGTGAGTTACACCTTATGACCAGCTCGAATAATTGATCCAATTCTCACTGTCTACGGCTGATAAAATTAACACAGAGTAGATCTAAAGCTTCTCGGGAAAGCAATACACTGCAGGATGCGTCATCACGGACCTCCCTCCCCTTCCTCCGTTCATTCAGTCTGGTTTGAATGCATAATTTGCCGCACGACACCCGCTTTGCACTTGTAAAACAGGTCGACATAAGACTCGCCCAGTTGTAAGAGGCAAAACGCAAGGCGGCCTATTTCTACAATGAAAAAAGCGCATTATAAAGCATTCTTCATTTTGTCAACGATAGCAATGCATCAACAAAAATTATAAGCGTAGCCGTACTCCCAGAAAAGTGTGTGTCTTAAAAAAAAATATAAATTTATTGGAGCTGTACTTTGAAATACTTATTTTAAGTCTAAATGAATTCGAATTAGTTTGTTTCCGCCTTTTCTTTCCTCTTGTAAAAATGGGGTTGGGGTGGGATGGGTGCGGGAGATTATCTAGTTATCTTAGAGAGAAAGGGAGAGACAGACAGACAGACAGACAGACAGACAGACAGACAGACAGACAGACAGACAGA